CGCCTCGGAAGGTGGGCCTGTTGAAACAGACCATGGGACGTGTGCCGGAATAGCTGTGTGTGATGAGAAAAAAGTACCTAGATCGAATCGCAAAAACAGCAACGACAACAAATAACGCAACACATGCGTTGGCACTACACATGAAACCAATCATTTTCAAACGGAAACCAATGTGAGCTAACCTATGCCGGACATAGTTTTTTGTTTTCTTACCTTGCTTGCTTCTCCGCCACGGCTAACCGGTCTGCATCGGGATCATTGGCCAGAATCAATCGGGACTTCGACGCATCCGCTTTGGCTATGGCCAAATTCAATGCGGAACGACCTTCTTCTGGGTTTGGATAGCGCACGGTGGGAATTTCTGGGTCCGGTTTGATCTAGATTATTATTATTATGTTGTTGTTGTAAATCAAGTCATAGAGTGATCACTTACTTGTTCTTCGACCACGACAGGGCTGGGAAAACCGAACGTGGCACAAAGTTGACGCACTGCTTCCCAGCCTACACCATGCATTGCGGTGTATGTGAATATGTAACTACATTTCTTGTTTGCTTCACTGTGAGTAAAAAAGGGGGGACGAAATGAGGAATAATTTAATTTGTTTTGATCGAGAAGTCGATTAGTAGATTTATGATGGCGTCACATCATAGAAATTCACTTAACCAAAGGGAACGAAAAATTCAACTAGGTATAAAACTGTTTATTTTCATAATTCTTTAGAATAGCTGCCTTGTTGATACCGTGCGGCTGATCCAATTGTGCTCTCCCGGTTTATTCAGAATCTCTCTGCGAAATCTCGCCGTATATTGTCGAGTCTATGTTCGTTTGATCCAGTTCTGTGAGCTCCATCTTGTGATCTCATTCGCTTGGAATTGAATCGCTCATATCGATCCGTTTTCTGTTTTTATCGAAGCTTTGGGATTCACTCACGCGTGCAAATTTGTGCAATTTTATTCGCTGTACCAATATTATGATATCGCTGGAAAGGAAATTTAACAACCTTCCCGACGAGTCTTGATTGAACGACTAAGTTCGATTGCAAGCAATCTCCAGATATATTTGTGCTGTTCAGTGCACTCTTAGTTACCACCACAGTCACCCTTGTGTTTGTTCCCCTGCGATCAGCCGATACTCCCAACGTGACCTTTGTCATTATTCTGTGCAGTTGTGACTTCCGGACGAGCGGGCGACCGAGACAACTTCTCTCGCTTTACGTGACCTTTTCATACTTCGTCAGTCTCGCCGTTCGATAAAGTGCAAAAATGGGACGTTGCACAGTGCCAACAAGTGCCGCACCAGGTGTCTCGATGGCATTGGAAGTATGCAGTATACGGAGCTGTGAGAAAGACGACAAAACGGGGACATTATGCACACACTGTCTGAAACACTTTCACATTTCATGTGCCAACACTCAGCCGGAAATCCCGATTGAAAAATGCATTACTTTGATCACACATAAGCATGCGAAACTATTGTCAGCCACCGAATGAGCGAATACAAAAATCGCCACATTTTAGGCAAAAATAGCGGATCACGCCAGTTAGTCCGATCGGGAAACCTAGCAAACGACCAAAATGCTCTCTACCATACCTTTTCAACTTCAAGTAAATCCGTTAACTTCAACTGAAGCCTACCAATCGCATTCCAATAGAAACCCCACAAGACGATTAGTGTTTCGGCTGTCAAATGTCACCCATTGGACCGGGTCTGTCTAAACCCCGTCTAGTCCGAATGAACTCAAGGATGAAAGTTTCAGTGGGGTGAGGTGGGCTGTTCTCTTCCCGCCCCGCCCCGACCCCCCCTACCCCACACTCTCGTTCTACCCGGAACGTTATGTTCGTGATCGTTGATCGAGTGTGCGTCATAGATACGAATGAACGAACCCGGAGTTAAGTGACCTTTGTCGGTCGGGTAAGGAAACGAACCACTTCAAGATGGATCGATAAATCGGTCACCAGACTTGAATATTGGGATGAACTATTGTATTGAGTGGAATCAGTCTAGGCCCTTAGTATCCTAATGAATAAATTTCATTGCGGCAGTGACTTCCTCAACTAACACCGATTCCTTTGAATCGAGCGCGATTTCCTAAACACTTCTACATTGAAACGCACGCTTAACGAAATATTTAGCATGCATATGCCGATGGTTTGAATACTGCAATTTGCTCTTTCTCTCGAATCACTCGCCACAGATGAAAGATGATTCATCCTTCATCCGCAATGAAAATAAATCCAAATGTTCGTGATTATTTTGACTAAACTGGAATCAACCCCAATGGTTGACAGCCTGTACCATTTACAATCAAACGATAAGCAAAATGTCGACCTGCCCAACATAGTCCACTGGTTTTACACGATTGTTTGGTTTTAACGATGCACGAGCTGCCCGTCTTGATTTTTCTTTAATAACCACGTGCCCTGGAAAACACTGCCTATCGAGGGAATGGTTCTGTATTAAATTATCGATAAACGCAAAGCGCATAACCAGCATACTGTAATTGTAAATGTGCTCCAAAGTCCAAGAACTATCTAATGCACTCCGCTTGTTGACTCCAATAATGATAGAACTCTCCGGCTTATATCTCCCATTCACAAAAACGTTCAGTGATTAGACAAAGATCAAATGTATTAAAAATCAAGCATTTTGATAGCTGTCGGACAATGCACACGAACACGGTTAGTTGATTGCGGACAATAATCCTTCGTGAGATGAGACTTGGCATCACCAGCAATGCTTTTCAACCATGCACATTTTCCAACCAGCGTAATCTATGGAGGTCGATTCCTTGCTCTAGTGGACGACCGCGACTGCCTAAAACTCTACGCCTAACCTCAGCATTGCTAGTCCGGTTACCCCACCAAACACGTGCAGTGCTACGTAGACAGCGGTGTTCGAACACCAACAATCTATTTTTATCCTGTTCCCTTAGTGGCCAAGTCTCTGCCACAAATGTCTCAAGTTGGCAAATGCCAACCGAGCCTTTTGTATACGCGCCGACACATCATCTGTGATGCGTCCGCCAGGTGAGATATAGCTGCCTAGATAGCAAAATTTGTCTACTTCTTCTACTACTTCCCTAGTTAGGGTGAGACTAGGTACTGGATCAACCCAATCTTGTAGTAGCATTTTATACTTTGAAGGTGCAAAACGCATACCGAACATCGCTACACTAGCACTCAAACTATTCAGAAAAGCTTGCAACTTACCTGGATTGTCACTCAGTAGCACAATGTCGTCTGCATACTCTAGATCAGACAGTCTGCCACCTGGAAGTAA